CAGAGACAAGTAATTGCAAAAGAAGGAAGTAAAGATGGCAGGGTAGTGATAATGCTTTATGTTAAAAATTTAAGGCCTTTCAGCATGAGCAATGCTTATGAAAACCATCCTAGAAATAGCATAGGATGCTGACCTGTAAATGCCTAGCTTCCAGATAAAGCTCTTAATTTTTTTGATATATTTATTTGGGATTTCTATTAAAGGCTACACGAATTGAGTCAGTTTCTATTCCATTTTGCAAAAAGCATTCCTTAATTTTTGATAATAAATAGAACTAATATATATTTAAATGTTCATCCCAAAATGTATATAATTTTAGAAACATATCTAAAATACTAAACAAGATAGCCAGCAAAAATTTGTATACAGTGTTCCAACTATTAAAATATGTAGAAAATGCTACCTCAGTTTGTAACATTGATTTTACGACTCTTAGAAAACATAATCTAAAACTGAATTTTGATGTGTCACTGAATTTTTCAGCTGGAATTTCTTCCAGTAGAGACTCTCGCCCTCTTCATTTTGTGAATTTTGATTTCTTTCTTAAATGGGAATGTGTCAATTCTGAAAATAATTCAACTACAGTTATTTGCAACTTCTTTTTAATAGGGAAATGATAAAACTGAAATATATATTTACTTAATGCAAAATATTTAACCCAGGGCAATATTTCTCAAACTTCCCTGTAAGAATGTTCTAGAAGACTTGTTTAAAATGCTAATTTATTGGTTCTATCTTTGGGGATTCTGATTCCCTGCAGCTGAAATAGGGCCCAAGAATGTATATTTTCTTAAGAACCCTCAGGTGATTCTGACTATAGGGGGTCTATAGGCAACAATTAGAAAATTATTGGTCCAGGACTACCACAGATATTCATAGCCTATTTATCATCAAGATAATCCTTAAATTTCAATAAAGATCCTCTTTGTTATCAACATTACTCCAAAATGTAGTAAAGGTTGATTTCTAGTAAGTTTGAAAATAAACATTACCTATGCCATGGCCTGATGTAAATCTTGTTTCTACGTAACACTGTAAACTCTTGAGGCAAGATTCTAGTATTCAGTGATCAGTGTAAAGAGAGACTAAAGATGAATGCAGAACTCCATTAAGCCAGGACTCTGAGCTAGGAATCTTGCATGTGCCCTCTCTTCCTTCCAGCATCCTCTTAGTTTATCCTCAGTTTAAGCTTGTTCTCCCTTCTTTTTCCCCTAACTCAGATTCTCTCACTGCCAATTTCCTCCCTCTTTATAGACTCTTAGCTTATAATCTTCTCATGGCCTACTTTTTTCCCCTCCTAGATATCTTATCCAAGGATAAAAGAGGGGAAGGTGAATCCTGGTCTTTCATGGATTTTGTGGATTAAAAGTGCTGGACTCAGAGTATAGGGCTAAGAAAGAAGTGTTAGGTAAACCCAGAAAGAAGTTTGGATGCTTCTCTGCCCAGGCCAAATTCTTCTTTCTCCCAGTCTGCTCTAGAAATGCCTGGCTTCTTATATTTTTCACTAAAGCAAACAAAGCCAGAGTTTCATCTTCATCAGGTAAACTAAAAATCAGACCTTATGACCTGTAGGAACTTACTGTATTTTAATATGACTCCTTTACCATTTCATGGCCTTATTCCACTTTTCTTTTCTGAAAAAGCCCTCTTTTCTCAGAAATGCATCACACCACAGACCAAGCCAAGCTTTGCTGTCTTAAGTACCAAAAATTAACCAAAGTTATGGCAAAAGGACGGCTTTACCTAGAATGTTGGTAGAAATATCTTTTTTCGGCTGGGCGCCGTGGCTCACGCCTGTAATCCCAGCACTTTGGGAGGCCGAGGCGGGTGGATCACGAGGTCAAGAGATTGAGACCATCCTGGTCAACATGGTGAAACGCCGTCTCTACTAAAAATACAAAAAATTTGCTGGGCATGGTGGCGTGTGCCTGTAATCCCAGCTACTCAGGAGGCTGAGGCAGGAGAATTGCCTGAACCCAGGAGGCGGAGGTTGTGGTGGCTTTTTCTGCCTCAACTGAGAAGTTTGTACTCTAAGAGTAGTGGTATTTCTGGTGTCGTCCTTAAGCAAAGAAAGAAAGAATTCCATGACCCATGAAGATGACTGCTTAGCCTTCCAGACTGTGGTAATTCATACGACTGTGGCCTAATGTACTTCTGACATCAGGATTTATGGATGACCCAGGGTTAGTCTCAGAAAAATCAGCTATGAGTTGAATACAGACTTGAAGTGAAAGTAAAGGAGAAATCAAATATCAAAAGCTTGTGTTGCATTTTAAATTTCTAAAGTCTTAAGGAAGTTGTCTATGTCCATTTCAGATGGGTATAATGGTCCATGACAGGCTTTGAGAAAATAGCACTGAGCATGAACTGCATCAAAAGTATGTTTTTAGAGTGGTGGTGGTATTGATGATGCCAACAGCTTTATTCTCCTGGGATTAATAGACAGAAATGTGACTTGTAGCTTCTCCCTACCAACACATATGTAAGCAAACTGTGAAACTCACCTCTCTGCTTATGTATCTTTAGTTGGTATTTCATAGACTAGAAGTTTTGTGAGACTGAACCCTAAATGATCTGTTAATGGTTTGGGATTTGAAACAGTTCGCTCTGAAAGCTGGTTCTTGTAATCAAGTTTGACAGGAAAATAGTACTGTCATTAAATTCAAGGAAATACCACAGTTTCATGCTTAATCACATTAAATTTCAGATAATTTGTATGTCATGAAGCTGTATTTTGGAAACATCAGTTGGAACTTTACTACTGAGCAGACTATATATCTACATAGACTCAGTCTCAGAGCACTTCGGTATCAAGTTGTAGTTTTGGAAAGCTGGTGGGGAAAAAAAAACCCTTTTTATTGATTAATTGCATTTAAATGTTTTAGGGAATACCTACATGTAATTAAAGCAGCAATGATAACGAATAATAAGGCTACAATTACTTTCTTCTAGAACCAGTTTCTTTCTTTCAAGGGACAAAACCTTGCCCCATCACCTGCCTTGTGAATTTCCAGGAGTGTTCCTTTCCTCTGATTTGAAGCATGTTAATGTTGTTTTTCTTTTTTGTGTGTGTGTGTATCCTTGCATGTGAGATGGGTTTCCTGGATTGTTGTTTTTCAAGCAGTTCGGATTGTTTGTCCTACACATTTTTGTGCACAGGTGTTGTCTGGGTGATGGAAGGGTAGAGATTAAAGTGAATTCTTGCAGTGTCAGTTTACATAGTAAGTTCTGAAAGGGCTGAGTGGAAAATTTACATTTTCAAGCGAAATCACTGAAATTGTGGTGAGTATAACATATGATAAGGACATTAACATATACCTAATAGGTCACCCATACTTAGTACTAAAACTCCCGTTTTAGTCCTTCTTAGTGATTCCATTTACTTGACACAAATGGTTTTGGCTGATTGCTCTAACCTATCACCATACCTTGAACAAAACAACTGATGTCACTCAGTAAGGAGGTAGGATCCATTAAAGAGAAGCCCATTATATCAGCTTATACAATCTACAATGCAAATGAGAACACTGTTTCAACAGAAAATGGAAGAGGCATTCAGAAAGAGGCTAAAGTATTTTCTAAATTTAAAAAAAACGCTAGTCTTGACTTCTAAGATTTCTCACATATTTTTCAAAGTGTCAACTCAGAATTGTGGAATATGTCTTTGTCTTCCCACTGTAAGGATTCAAACTTCTCATAATGCATAGAAAGATCTCCAGGAAGGATCCCCCCACCACACCAATACAACATTGTGTTAAACTTCATCCAATTGTCCAGCTAATTCTTATGCTTCTCCAATTTTACTGGATATGATGTTTTTATTGGGGTTCATGGAAGCATGGCTAATGACATCAGCAAGCTTTGTAATTTCTCACTCCCAGTTTTCTACACAACTTACACTTTTGTCACTCAAACTGCACCAAATTGCTCCAACAATTAATCTTAAAGCGCAGGAGTAGGGGGACTTTTAAATGGACCCCTTCTTGGGATTTTGTGTTAAAAACAGAAAAGTTCCCATGAATGAAGGGGGCAAGTTAGCTTTTCCAGCCTCTGCCTCTCCTCAAGTCTCGCTCTTCTCTACCACCCCCCAAAAGGAATGAATTACATTTCTCTTCTTGTCCTTTAAATGAATAGCATAGTTTGGGTGAAATTATCGGGCAATTGCATGCCTTTTATGCAGATAATGCTATTTGATGAAAGCAGTGTTTTGATCTGCTAAGGATAATACAGATCCAGGGTTGGATTCATTGGTGAGAGTAAAGCTGTCTTCTGTGATAACTTCATCTCAGCATGAGGTCAGACGGGGAAAACTGGGATGGGGGATTAAAAAATGACACAGTCGGAGCAGTATTCAGTTCCCTGCTGTGCTCCTGGCTGCACACTATAGCTTATGTTTCTGATCTGTTATGGTATTGTCTGCCTTTCTCTCTCGGAGCAGAAAGAGATTGCTTAAAACTTTTCTTTTTTCAGCTAGAGGGATTAGTTCTGTGCAGCTTTTTTAATTAAAGAAACTGTATCTTTTTCAAGGCAATTTAAAGCAGCAAGGAAAGAACCATCAACATCCATAACTTAGTACTATTATCTGTAACAAAGTGTAAGCTTTAAATTTGATATTCACCAATAGGGGAAAGGAACTATAGAATTCTGTTGTATTTTTAAGCTTTGGTTGTTTTGCCCAAATCCCTAAATGAAGAATAGTAAATAAATTGTTTTGTGTAAGTCCTGAATGTTTCTATAAGTAATAACTTGCAGCCTCTTTGCTTCTTAGCTTAGCTGAGCTTGCTTAATTAAATCTTCATGATAGCCAAGTGCGCTTGAAAATAGTGTAAGAGGAAATAGATTTGACTATATATCCTTTTCTTTACCCAGAGATCATTTTTAAACATTTCCATTCTACTGAAAGTGGTAACAGTAGACAATGTCTGCTTAATAATGGACAATTTGCATTTGAACAGTGCAAAGTACAACATTATGGTACTTTATCATGACGAATCTTTGCATTTGTGAAAAGCGGTCATCATCTTTATTAATCTGAGAGGAGCATGGCTCGAATCTACCCAAAGTGATGATGAATTTGTCGGGACATATACATTTGAGTTGAATTTATAGCTCAATTTAACCCAGGTTAATGTCGAAAATCCTCAAATGTTTCAAATAAGGCCCATATGGTTATCACTTTACAAAGCACACAGGCTCTGCGCTTCAGTTGCAACATACACATCGCCAACTAAATTCCATGCCAGATCAATTAGAAACAGTCCTCATGAGCAGACAGGAACAAACAGAGATTGTTTCCCCAATACCAGCTGAATCCTTGTCTTGAAGAAATGAAAAGCAGTCATCTTAGGCTCTATGCTCCTTACCACTAAAAATTCAAAGGAAATTTGGAAGACAATAGGGTTATATAAATAATGTCATATTTAATATAAAAACGGGAGTGTCCACATGTTATAGGTGCTTGCTACAATTTGTTTCCAAATTTCAGTAAACATAATATCCTACTGAAAAAGAAAAAAACAAAATTTGATCTCTTCGTCTTTTCTCAATGTTTTGTTACGTTTCTGAGAAGTCAATCAAGGTCAAAAGTGGTTCATTGTAATGACCAGAATTTTAAAACGACGTCCCCTGAAAAAGTTGATGGTCAGAGAAATAGAAAAATGTACTTAATACATTTTCAAGGTAAATTTTATTTATGACATATCCCTATTTTAAAGAGAAAGTCAGAAAGGCTAAAGACAATGCATATATTTTTTTCATGTATCGACTGATTCATTCAATAAATATTTATTAAGCAGCTGCTATATGCCAGCCCATGTGCTAGGCTTGCGTGTCCAAAGAGGCATAAGGTCAAGCCCCTACACTCCAAGAGCTCGCAGCTATTGGGAAAGGCCTATACGAAGAACAGTGCCAACCTTTATTACATGCAGAAAACACAGTGGAAGCACTGCTAAGGGAGGAGAATACCACTAATCAGTGCTTTAAACACAATGTGTTCCAGGGTCCCAGGATACAGGGTATTACAGACTAAGGGTTCACCAAAGGGAGGAGAAAGAGCAGGGTACTTGTGGGAAATGAAAAGATGTTCAATTTGTCTGATACTGATTTATAGTCACTTGATACCTGTATTTTTAACCTACAGTTACAAGTTAACATATAAGCTGTACCCTGAAATATCCAAAGGGTGTTACTAAAAAATTGCCCTGTAGTGTCACTATTTTATCATACACCTTGCCAGCAGCTAATGCCTACTTTGAGTGCACTATATACTCTACTCACTGAAAACTCGTTTATAGAAAATATGTCAGATTTTAAAAGGTACTCCATGATAACTCTTAATTATAAAGGTTCCAACTTTCAATGTGGAATAATATAGCAAGTGTGAAACACATTCACAGAGCGAAACCAAAACTGAGAGTTCCACGTTAAAAGACACTGGTGTTCAAAATCCTTTGTGAAACCTGGGGTCTTTAATGAAGCTCTAGGCAAAGCAAGGAACCCTTGGGTGCTGCTACACATAAGCATTTCACCAAAGGTCGGAGCTACACATAGGCCAGGTTTACACCATGGAATACAAGCGAATGCACTGGAGGAGCACAGTCCCAGTTAAAGGTTGCTTTGTCTCATCACCAGTCCACCCAGTGGCTCCAAAATGCATACACACTGAGAGAGGCTTATCATGCTTTAATTAAAATCATGAAAGCATATTTTCCACTACAGTCATTTAATTTTATCACTTTGTCAGTGATCAAATTAAACATATTTGTTTTACATTCCCTCAGTCTAATAGCCAAGGGATAAGTTATTTTTTTTTTGCCAGTGGAGGGAGGGGGGAACTCCACCCAATAAAAACTTTAAGGCTACCTGAGAGACTTCCATGAAAAATGTAAGTTTTAATGTTGTTCACTGTTGCACATCAATCACTTGCTACCTGTGAAGCCATTTCTGTAAGGAAAATACCTCAGGTGCCTCGAATTGGGATTTTGCTCGGCGGCTCCACCCTTTAGCCTGTTTTGAAGTCGCCCACCACGTTTTTGCTGTTTTTCAGTTGAGACGTAACCTCCTTTGGGGCATATGCGGGTTACTGGCTTTCCTGGTCTTCAAGGGGTGATCTGGAAGGTCTAGGTACCTGCGATTTCTCTCCCCTGGTCATTTCTACCCCGTTCCTCATCGTTCCTAGGGTCTCTTGAGTGGGAGAGGTTACAGACAGGGCAGCTACTGGGTTTGAACCCAGCAGGCAGGCAGCTCATGCCTCAGTGTGCTAGAGCAGATGTAAGCAAGTCCAGTGATGTCCACAGTCTCCTAGGAGAGCCTAATACCTGCCTGACCCAGTGTTCCCTTTCTGCGTGCCTGTAAGCCTCGCGCGTCAAAGGAGGAAGTGGCTGCTGAGACTGTGGGTCCGCACGGGAGAGAGGCACAAACAGCTGCTACCCGGCCCCTTCAGGTCCAAGCTGGCTCTTTAGGAGGAGAAAAAGGACAGCCCCCAAAGGGGAGAAACGGAAGGCGCCTGTGATGCTGACTAAAATGGACAGGTGTCACATTCAGGTGGGCTGCGACACTCTGCTGAGACTTGGCCCACCCGGAGGCGGAGCAGCAGGGCAGGGTGCTGGTGGCCCTGGCTCCTCTTCCCCAAATGGAATCCGGAGGTTCGGCCCATTCTCTTCCTCCCGAGCACTTTTTGGAGGTGCAAAGGCCGCAGGCAGGCATTCCTAGCAGTAGGGCCAGGTGCTGCGAGGGGAGCTGGGTCACGTTTTCCTTTCGGAGAGCTGCGCATCTGTGTGACAAGAGGGGCCCACGAAAGGGCGATGCCGCCAGCTCGGTCCCATTATCCCGGGCACGACCGGCTGCGTTCACACCGCAAAGTCACCAGCCGCGCCAGGCAGTTTGCTGAGAGCGGCCAGAGGCTTACAAAACAGACACCGATGTCTTGCATTTCTTTTCCCGCTCCAGTTTTTATTGCTGCGGAGAGCGCGGCGTGAGCTGCCCACCATCCCCGCCCTCTCTTGACAACAGTTCAGTGAGGCAAAAAGCATGATGGTCACGTAGCGAGCTGCCTCTCTGCTTTCCAGGGATTCATTTGAAGGAGGAAGCCTGTGGTACAGTTTGGCACTGCACAACATCAGCTCTTCCTCAAATGATGGGACTTCTTTGTATGAGAGAGAGAGAGAGAAGAGAGAGAGAGAGAGAGAGAGAGAGAGAGAGAGAGAGAGAGAGAGAGAGAGAGAGAGAGAGAGAGACCCAAATTTAACACACATAAGCTGCCTGGATTACAAGCGCAGGCAGATGTAGAGGAGGACACCTGCGAGCTTTGTCCACCAGCGACGCCTGCATAGTGTGCGCAGGGCCGTATTAATGAGTTCTAGAGTTATTTCTTCTATATTGCAACCATAGTGTGAATGTTCACTATTGCATACTGAAAAACTTTGAATGTCATGTAAGAAGGAACTGGGTTGGAGACAGGAGCCAAGATTTATTACCGTTTACCGTTTCTGTGTTTTATGAGTTCTATTGTTTCCTACCTTTATTACCAGCGTTAGCTATAATGAGGATTCTAGAAAAAAAGAGCTGAAAAGAAGCATCCCTTAACTCCCACAATGTAGCTCTTCAGTTCTGGCCTCTTTAGGATTGGGGCAGTCTCTTTATTGTGTTTTCCTAGATAGTAAGAGGCCGTCTCACTTACTTAGATACTTAGAAAAGTTTTAAAAGATCTAATACTTTTGTGTGTGAGAGAGAACTGGGCCACAAACGTGCTTTATGAGGGTTTCCTTACGATCATGTCCGGATTCAAATTTCAAGTAGTTTGCATGATCGTCTTGTAATATCTGGGACATACTTTCATAATGGATAAGCTTTTTTTTTTTTTTTAATAATGAGAATGAGTAGAATGAGTGGGGGGATATCATTCATCTGCCCCACGATCTTATCTTTCTCAAGTGTGAAATTCAGTTGCAAAAGGAGACGGATCTACCCCAGGGCGACTCTAGATTCTTCTGCAAAGATGTGTGCGTCCTGCTTTCCGTCAGCAGCGCCCTGAGAGCCGGGTCGGGTTCGCTTACTACCAAGACTTCCCTAATCCCTGAGCTGCGCTCGAGCACTTAGCAACTTCCAGAACTCGGGTTGTGGGTCTGGGCACACTAGTTCGAGTTCAGGGATCTCCTCGTCAAGCCTACCCCAAACTTTGGAGAAACTATCTATCATAAAGGTTCAAGGCTTTCCTAGGAAGCATCGTCGCCTTGTTCTCCCAGTGATCGATCTGTTTCTGGTTCTGCACGGTAGTTACAAAGGCAAGTGGATTTCCTAGCGGTGGAGTCAAGTTAGGTACAGGTCAGCGGAATCCGCTCTGAAGCTGAAAGTGATGGGTGGTGCCAGGATGCTAGAAGCGCACCAGTTTCCATCAGGCTTCCGAGGACTGGTCGGCGGCGGCGGCGGCCCGGGCAGGCCTGGTCGTGGGCTCCCAGCCCTCCACCGGCGGGCGGGCGGCGAGTCCCAGGGGAGGCCGGGGAGACCCTCGGGCGCCCACGGTGAGCCGCGCGCAGTCGGCCGGCCGCCCCAAGCGCGCACGCCCCACCCCAGCAGCCGCCTCCTCCCGGACCTGAAAGGTGCCTGAAGGATCCCGCGGACCGCCGAGCCAGAGAGCGGTTCGGCTCAGGGCTGAGGTCGCCGGTTCGCAGCTACAAAACTCTGGAACTTCCAGCAGTTTCGGAAGCTCGGAGGAGGGCTTTCTCGCAGCCAAGGGGCGGGGGTTGGGGAGCCGGGAGCCCGCGCTGCGGTGGGAACTTCAGTGAGTAGAAAGTGGCAGTGTCTTGGGAAGAGCAGCAAACTTTTTTCCCCCCATAGCCAACAAAATCGAGGCAGGGGCTACTGTTTGGCTGCTACTCGGAGGGGAGAATGAAGGAGAAGGGAGAGTAGTAAATGAGGGGAGTGGAGCCTTCGGGGGATCCAGCGTCCGCCCCTGGCCAGGTGCTGCTAGGGGGAGGTCTAGGTGCTTGAACCCGGGGGCAGACAGTAGTTCCGCTACAGTGGCGAGCTGGGGCCGGTAAGGAAGTCTGAGTGTTTACTGCCTCCCTTCCCTGTCCGAAGGTCATTTGCGCTTTTCGGTCTCGGACGAGAGGACACTTTGGAAGGGAAGGCGCGGGTCATTTTCAGAGGCTCTGCAAAGGACGGGCCGCCTACCGGGGGTGGAAATCCTTAATTACACCCTTCTGCCTCGGAATCCGTCTTCCCGGCAGTGTCTTGCACTCCCACCTCCTCGGGTGACTCAGCTGACCTGATGCCCACCCTACGGAAGATCAAGAAAAGTAGTTTTCTAAAAAGGTTAGAGGTTTGATTACACAGAGAAGTGTTTCCACTTAAGTCCGAAGCAATTACCCGCCCCCTCCCCCAGGGCCTCCGCCTCCCGTCCACCTCCCCTCTACCTGCAGCAGCAAAGGACAGACCCCCACGCACGTACCCCCGCACTTTGTTGGTGCGTGTGAATTTCAACTGGCGCAGTAAGTTCATTAGTGTTTGCAATCAGCGGCGGGCAGACCCCTCATCAGAGCCGAAAGCCGGCAAGAGCCATTCATCAGCGTGAAGTGTTATTCACGGATGACCCCTAAATCGCGGCGAGAGTAGTAGAGGCACTGATTGGTCACAGCATGGGAGCCTCGGTGCTTTCCCGAACCCGACGCGGCCGGGAGGAGGGAAGGAGGGAGGGGCGGCGAACGTGGTTCAGTCCGGCAAATCCCATTTGACAGAAAAAGGCAGTAAACGGGGAATCTCTTTTTTTTTTGAACAAAAAAGAAGAAATAAAGTACCTGTCATCTTGACAAGTGGCGGAGCGGAGGAGTCAAGGATTATAAATGATCACAGCCAGGTCCAGCTCGCCCCGCGATTGGGCTCTCCCGCGATCCGCACCGGGGGAAGCGCATGGTAGGCTCCTCTCCTCGCCTCGCCTCTCTCCCTCGCACACTCCCGCACACACACACGGACACGTGTACGCGCCCGGGCTCGGGCACACTCGGCCCGGCGCGTCCCCCGCCCGCCGCGCAGTTACGGTCCTGGATGCCGCTCCCCGGCCCGGCGCCCCGCGGGCCTCCTCTCCCCGCCCTGCTCGCCTCCCTCCTCCTCCCTCGCCTCCCTCGTCCTCCCGCTCGTGGGCCGAGCCCAGAAAACTCCGGCCCGACCTGGTCAGCCGCCTCAGAGGAGGCTGGAGGGGCCGGCGGGCGCAGAGAGGGGGAGAGCGGTGGAGAGAAAGAAAGTGAACTCATTGGCGCGCCGGCGCCCTCCCCTCCCGCGTCCCGGGGCCGCGCGGCCGGGGGCGGGCAGGGAAGGAAGTTGTAACACTCGCGCCCCCTCCCCGCCCCCGCCCCCGCCCCGCCGGCGCCCGCTCCCGGCTCCCTCGGCGGGGCCTCCTCCCCCGCGCCCGGCTCCTTTGAATTTGGCCCGGCGCGGTGAGCGCGCGGCTCGGGCGGACGCGGCGGCTGCGGCCGGGGAGCGAGCCGGCAGCGCGGGCGAGCCGAGCGCGGTAAGTGCGGCGCCGCCGCCGGCGCGCCCTCCTTCCTTTCTGGGGTCCTAGTGCCGGGCCGCGGCGCCGGGGGCGGGCGGGAGCCGGGACGGAGCGTGGCTGCGAGTGGCCCCGGGAGGCGGCGGCGCGGGGGCATCTCCCCGGCGCGCGGGCTCTCTCCGCGGTCCGGCCTCCCGGTCCCCGCCCCGCCCTCGCGCCCGCCACCTCCGGCCGCCGGCTCAGGTGGGAACTTCGCCGGCGCCTCTCGCCCGGGGAGCCAGGCGCCGCGCCCCCATTCGGGGGAGCGCCAGGGTCCCCGAGGAAGGCAGCCCGGAGGCTGCGCGCCCTGTGGGGGCGGGGAGGGGAGCCCTCCTGGCCCTCTTCGGCTCCGGCTGTGTAGCGGGGCCCCGCGTCTTCTGCGGGGGCGTCTTGACAGGCTCCTGGGGGGCTCCCAGCGAGCGGAAAGCCACGGGGTGTCACCGCTTTCCGGGGCAGGCCTTGGAGAGGAGGCTTCTGCGGCGGCCGGGAGCCAAGTTGGAAAGGAGTGAAGGAGGGAGAGTGAGGGGCGAGGGGTAGCGTGGGGAGTGGTGGGTCACGGCTGAAACTTGATCGGGAAACTCTGGATGGGGCTGGAAACGCAAAATATCCTGGAGCTGGGCGTTGCAAAAATTATGAATTTATGAGCCTACAACTGAGATTCTAAGTCTGTCTCGTGTTTTACAACCGATTACAAAGAGCTTCACATATTTTAGGTTGAGGCGGGTTTGCCTGATTGATCTTTGCTGAGTATCTTACTGTGCAGTTTGGATTCCCTTCTTACTGCCTCACCTTGAAGGTACCTGGAATGGTAACTTGTTAATTTTTATTGTGGAGAGAGGGTAACAAGTACTTGTACCGTGTAATAACATCACATACATGTGTTTTCCGAAGTCATTCTAATTTGGAGGTAGAAAAAAGTTTCCAGGTACGTGTGAGGAGGTGCAATGGAAATGAAAGACTGGGAACTGTCCTAGGCTTTTTGTGGGGCCCCAGCCGGCTGGGATGCCGGAGAACAGGACTGTCTCTTCATCATGCTCTATTTCTTATCTTCTGACAATGTATTTTGTCAAACATTTGTAGACTCTAGCAGAATCCACTGGGTGGTCTTTTCACTGGAAATAGAAATACGTAGAGGCATTACCTTTCCCTTCTCTTGTCAGAAGAAAAAAGGTGGCTATGGCATCTCTGGAAATCTTGGAAGAGTATCCCAAAAGGTGGCATTGCAACTGAGCAGAACTTGGTGATCTGATTCCGATAGTGAATTTGTTTCAAATGTGATGTACATCCCGTGGTCCCCATTGCCTACTTGGAGAAGTATTTGTAGTCTTTACGGTATTACTATATTGGGAACAGACTTTAGAATTAAGAGCAACTACGTAATAATACATCATTATTTTAACATTTCAATTAAAAAACAAGATTTTATGAATTCAACAATCTTGTTTGGTGCATTTCTTAATGCACTTTTAATTACCTAAAACTTCGAGCATGTATATAAAATTCTTGTGTGATTCCTAAAAGTTTTGATTTGTAATTCTAAATGCAAAGCAAATATTTAATTCTTGATCTAAGAGTGAGAGGTTAGTTCAGTAACAAGACTTGCTAATCCCACCTTAAAATATCCTGGCATTCACAAATTATTCCTAAATTCTTCGAAGATAGGAGTCTATAATGAGTTTAGTTATTCTATTGTGTATTTCAGGATTGTCTGTATCTCTTCCTGTTGCATTTCCCTTAACAATCTTGCTCTTTTTTCTTGTATGAATTTCATTATTCCTTTTAATCAAAGATATTTTTAATAGTAAACATGTATCTTATGTTAAATAACTTAAAAAAGAATATATATTTAGAAAAAGTTCAAATCAAATACATACTTTATATGCACTGCACAGTTTTTATGAAAAATGTAGTTATATTAATCACAATGTTAGTGTTTATATATTTGTAAGACCGTATGAATCTCCTGTGCCAGTAGCTTTAAGTTAACAACCTATGCCACCCTAATAGGGATTACTTGATTATTGGAAATAAAGCTGATAGGTTTATAGAATTGTTACTAGTTATTCTTCCAAATGCAATTATTTTGCATGACTGTGTTTATTTTCTAGAAAGACATGTTTTAGGTAAATTATTGAGGCTTTTCTTACTATGATCCTATAGGCGTGTCCTCAGTCTTTTGCTTAGGAAAGGGAACCTGCTTCATTAGGGGGAAGACAAAGAGATGAAGATGCTTATCTCTGAAAAGAAGAAAGCTTCGAAAGAGTGAAAAGTTTTAGACTTATTCAGAAGGGAAACCTAGCTAAACAATAATGATCCAGTTAGTAAGTTCAAGCTACTCATTCTTAGCTTTGCTCCTGAGAGCCAAGAGTAATTATTCTCTTTGTAAAGAGTCAAGCAAATAAGAAAGCAGGAAGACGTGCATGGCTATCATTGTGAGTAGAATGACCTGTCAGAAATACCGAATCACTGTAAGTCTGGATGTACAAAAATGATGTTTTTGCAGTAGCTGTGAATGTATGTTTGTAAATGCTGAAGTTTATCCTACCTGTGGGGATACTAGGGAATAAGTTCGGAGCATGGTCATAGTCTGATATAAAAGCCCAACAAAGCCAAGTTTATGAGTTTATTAATATTGATTATTTAAATAAATGCATGTGCCTCCTTTTTATTAAACTTTATTTTACCCTTTAAAATTTTGATCTCTGGATAGTGGTTGAGTATCATCCAAGTTTTATATTTATTTGAGTCAGTGTATTCAGCACCTGTAATGAATTTTCTGCCCTTTTCTTGAAGCTGTGTTGTGGAAACCTGTTAAGCTTGTTGAATTACACGTTGCTTATCTACCGAGTGTTTCGTTTGATAGTCAAATGTCCATTTTGACTTTGAGGACACACTTTCTTTACTTACGTTGAGAGTATGAGCAAAGAATACAATAATTTGCCAACAAACTTTTATTCTGGTCCATAACCAATTATATATTCTTTTGAATTTTCAGTCGAATTCAGTGTTGTGTTCATAGTTGCCTTATAAAGTGAAATAATAGCCCATAGAAAAATCGAACACATGCATTTGGAGTCAAAAAGTCTGTTGAAAAGATAACACAATAATACATTATTTAGAAGTTTCAACAACTAAGTTTTAAACATTATTTTCTGCACGCTTCTTTTAGAATACATTTAAAAACTCATTTTTGGAGATGTCAGCTGTTTTAACAGACCTGATGGAAATTTTGTGCTTAAAAAAAAAGCAAAAACAAAAACAAAAAAAACCCTACCTCTTTAGTCTGAAAATTGATTAATTGTTGTGTCTTATAAAACCTGATTTATTTTATACTTTTTTATACCAAGCATTACCATTATGAGGCTCTCCTTCTAATTGAGATTAATGTTTCTGAGCAAAGAAGTGGTTTGGAGGGCTGCATTCATTTTGAGTGCTGTTGTAATCAATTTTAGATACAGTGTTGCACAATGGATCAGTTTGGGTCCAAACCTGCCTTATTATGTAGAATTAACTTGTTGGTGATTGATAGTAATACTTCTCCATCTTGAAAAGTCATTTGTTTCCAAACAAGTGTGATGGCTTGCATGAGTTTCAAAAGATTGCTTCTCATAATTAAAACATCCTATTGGAGACCTAATAGGAACTTTTTCTAAGAATTATATAAAGCATGAGGAAATGATTCTTTCACATACATTCAACAAAAACAGCCTATTTTCCCAAAGTGCAGTATGCCTCAAGGCGTATGTTCTTGCTCATCAAAGGATTTTATGGCCTCTGGAGTAATTAATAGTAATCGTGATCCATCTAGGTTATTTCCTTTTCTGTTTGTATCAACATTCCAGTTCAGTTTTTCAGATATTTCTTAGAATTACGGATGGACCTCCTGTGCATATGTTATAACTTTCTTTCATAAGATAGTAGGTGTAATCCTGACAATGAAATATAATGCAAGTGGAGGTAATTCCTTAATGGAAATGTGGAGAGAGAGTGAACGTTATCGTCCCCACTGTGATCTTTGCATTTGTTTCTTATTTGTACCTGGTCAGCTTTGGTTTTATCAGCTTTTAATTCTCTTCTGAAAGACCACGTTAGGATTCTCTTGGGCTTAGGTTCATATTGCATTGTGATAGATGTAGTCCCAATCACGTAAAAGATTAAGAGCGCAGAATATAAGATTAACGTAGATTAGCATTCTAATATATTCATAGTATATATGATTTCTAAAGAAAGCTGTAACTGCTTTCTAGTATGTAAAGTTCCCACAATGGCATTACTCTTTACTTTCCGGAGGGAAAAAACTTGATAAGAAGAATGTATCTTTATTGTATTCTCTATAATGACAGATTCCTAGCATTGGATCGGTGTTTGTCCTGTGTAACACATTCATTTAAAACAGTTTTAAATGCTAAAAATAATGCACTTAAACTACCATTTTCAGAATATTATTGTGCACAACCATGAGAGTATAAACTATCAAAATGCAGAAACATGCTCTGAGATATATAGGTGTTTCATATACCAGAACTACAATAGGATTCATTCTTTTGAAGGAATTTTGATAAAATTTTCTGTAGTTTTGATTAAATAGCTCAGGTGGTTGCCTAGTTAGAACAACTACTTGGAATTCACTAAAGATAGTGATCCACTCAAGCCCATGTCTTTCTGTTTTAAATTAGTCACTGTGCAAATTAATGTCAGTATCATAGAATGAACTCATAAGTCGTACAAGTAGATGATTGAAGCTATATCACGTAATAATAATAACAATGAGATTTTACTTGGAATCTTAGAAGAGCCAGGATCGGGTGGCACTGACTTTTCAAACAAGTTTGTGATAGGTGGCAGTCTTAACTGGGTTCCTAGACTTCCTTCAGAAAGCAGGTAATTCTTACATGTTTAGTAGCATGTGTGGAGTGAAATGTAGCATAACACTAAACTATGCTTACATTCTTTCTTATGAGTTTAGGAGTGAATCAGGACTTATGGAGGTGTGGCGTTTATTACTATTATCATTTACTATTTGACCCACTTTTATAGTTCCGTAGTTTATACTAGAGCATGCAAAAACAACAATACCTTTTGAAAATACTGTTTTGGGGAAAACATAGTGGCTGTATTCACACTTGCATTTAATGATATAAAATGGTAACATTTATATAATTATGTGGAAGTCGTTGTGGGATGCTGCTTGTTGATAGTTTATTCTCAAATATTGTGAAATCGTTTTACTTCTGTTACAGCAGTTGGGGAGAGACGGGGATAATGTGATTTGGTTGCCTTGGGATGGGATCATATTATTTAATAATAACCAGCTGTTTTATAGCTGGGTTTACTAGGTCTCTGCCTCAAAAACAAAGGGAGATAAGGGAAAGAGGAAAGAGGAAGGGTGGAAAAGAGGAAGGGAGGGGAGTAAGGGAAAGATAGAGAAAGAGAAGAAAAAAGGAAAATGAGTATCTTTTATAATGAGTGATGGTCCTTTGAGCATTTTCTGTGTGTAGCAGAGTGTGTGACAGGGAAAGCAGACTGAAGGGCAAATTTTGTCATTTAACTTAATTAGATAAGTCAAGAAGAAAGTTAATTTGTACATTTTTTCACTTTTAAATATATGCATTTCCAATCCTTGCAGGGGAATCAGAATATGAGTTCTTAAAATTAATCCAAGACATTCCAAATATTGTACCTAGTTGCTTATATTGACGGAGAAAATAAAATGTACTCACAGCTCTATTTTATAAGTATGCTTTCTTTGTTTATGCGACTGAACACCGAGTTATAATTTTTTTATATAGAAACTTAAAAAAAACCTCACACAACTCTGATTATTTAGAAAGACCTTTTAGGAGGTAACTTATAAAGGCTACTTACCTTTAAAGATACAGCTTCAATATATTTTGGTCATTCTTTCCTTTATTTAATTACTAGTAATATTTTCTAGAATTCTTATGCTAATTCCCCTTCAGGTTGCCATTACTTAGAAAGAATGAACAGCTTGGTGTAATGGCTGTCTTCCTTCAGTCTGATTCCGTAGCACCTCTGAATGTAGTGGCTGTATATGAAAATAGCAGAACACCTCTGAATAGGAGGATGACGTGGATTTGTGGTCCTCTGTTCCCTCCCCCAAAAAGAAAAGCTACCTTTTTATTAGAATGGATTATTTCCTCTTGAGTGAAGTAATGCTCAACTAATATTTTGTGACTAGCATTGCTGACCCCCTCTCTACGTGAGGAGGTGTCTTTTTGGTAATAGGGGCGGTTCCAAAGAAGTCCTCACTCAAGAGTGACTCCAGCGTCCTATCGTGT